TATCTTTTCTTTATCCAAACAATGTAAAAGAACAAATGAAATCTCGATCGGTGATCACTGAAACGTAGCTAGCCACTGTATACACGAAAAAGCAATGTTGCCACTTTTTCTCATTAAAGCTTAGTATCCAGCTCTTAAGAAAAGCAAAAACACCATATAAAATGACGTACAAGAAATGGCTAAGAAATTTTCTTGAGTCAAATTTCCTTAAGGCAGTACGCAGTTCTTCAGAAATTTAGTACGCTTTCTACTACGGTTTTCTAAAGTTTTTTGTGAAAAAAGAGCACAAGGCAACCCAGGTTTGCAACAGAAATATATGCCCGTTCCATTATTTCTTGAGGAAAGAGTGAGGCAACAGGCTGTGCGTTATCAAAAATGTCAAAATTCCTTGGACACACACGCGAAATAATGGCAATTTTTTCTTGACCGTTTTCTTAAGAGGATACTAAGCTTAAACCATGTTCGAATCGTGGAAATTTTGGCAGATCACAGGGTTGCTTTTAGCATTTAGATTCTTAATGCAAAAATGGATTTGCATTTAGGTAGGGTTGCCAGACGTACTGCCCAAAAGAAAATATGTGGAAATGTACTCCTTTATTAGTTGTGTACTTCTTTTGTACTCCTTTTTTCAGCATTAATATTTTATACAGGGAGTAAAATAATAACTTTTTTGAAATAAAAGGGATTTTTATAGATTTTGCGAAAAAGGAGTTTATTGCTAATTTTCCACAGATTTTACTTAAATTTTATTAATTAGTTTTTAAATTTTTACCTTCATTTGGGTTTGCCAGCGGGTTTGGGAGAAAAGCGCGAGCGGCCCGCAAGTCTTCGTCGGTTACTTTATTACATATCTTCTGTAACCATAGGCTAGTTTCCACAATTTGGTTCCTTTATACTCCGTCTTTTATCCAACATAAGGCCTCTTACTCAGCAATCGAAAACACTCGGAGTTGGTGACTGAGGATGGCATTAATTCGACCAACCCTATACAATTTTTTTTTTTATACCAAGTCTAAGAAAAACAATACACCTGAAAAAGACGTGCGTGCCGCATGTACTTATCTCCCAAAGCTGACAAATGTAAATAAGGATTAAAATTTTAAAACTAGTTAATAAAGTAAAATATTTACCAAGTTAACAAAAAATACTTTTTTTCGCAAAATCTATAAAGGACCCTATTATTTTTCAAAAAACCTCTGCGACAGTTATTATTTTATGCCCTGCACTTTGCCATTCATTTGTGGCAAACACTACTTAGTAAGCAAAGTTAAGTGTGATAGAGAAAAGATGTTAGCATGGTCGGAGCCAGGTAGGTGCAGGGCGCTCGGGTATAAAAATCAGAAATATATTAAATTAATTAAAAGGCTTAAATTAAAAAAAATGGCCATACAGTCAGGAAATGTCTAGAATTCTTTTGTAGAATTTAGTTGGGGAAACTTTCCTATAAGGGCGGTTATTGACAGCCCATTATTTGAGCTAAACTCGAAAAAGCCCATGAACGTAGTATCATTGACTCCTAAAACTATCATTTGCATTTGGTTTTACTCAATATCGATTTAAGCTGTCGCACAGTGTAATTAATTCCGTCGAACTTAAAACTATGTCTGACTCCACATACGATATTGGAATACAAATGTGTTTTATAATATAGAGGAAGCTTCGTTTTTTGATGGCAGAGATATTAAAGATCCGAAACAGTAATGCCCGTTTGCACCAATCAATTGGTGAAACTATTGTTAAGTAAATTAATAAAAGCTTCATTATTCCGTTAAACGAACTGTTGAAGATCCTTGATAAACATTAAAGAAACTGCTTGAACTATTCCTTATTTACCTCCATTTTCATTGTCAGATGTGTAAATGTGTAACCTGAGGAAATGCTACAGGTAAAACGCACTTATTTAAAAACAAAAAAATTTTAAACAAATTTTGTTAATATAATTTTACTTCACTCAAGCATAACTAAAAATTATGTTATTGCATACACGATATATTTTTAACACATGACCCCAATATTTGAAAAGTAAATATAACTGTAATTTTTACTATACCAAAAGGTTTGTCACACAGATCTTGCGGTTTTTGTTGTTGTTTTAGCGACTCGCTCGGGTCGATTCATCCGTCAACGTTGTCGCACGTTTCAGCTAAGGGGAGGCCCAGGAAGTGCGTGACTTCGACAGGGTCTGTCCATAAGGACAGGGACGCCAGCTGGGTGGGGTTCTCGGAGAATGTGAAGAGGTGCCGAGAGTCATGTGGCGACTCTCTACATGCCGGGTATTGGTTGGGCACATCCTTATTAATTCTGCTCAGGTACGAGCTTAGCCTGGTGCAATAGCCCGAGCGAAGTTCGGCCATTGTGGTGCGGGTCTCCCGAGGCAGACAAAGTTCTGTCCCGTCCACGTCAGGTGGTTGTGTGCCTAGAACGGCATTCACACAGCGGGAGTCTACATAACTTGAGACCGATTCCCTGTGAATGGCGCTCAGGGCCTATCGATAAGCTGACGGGTCCAAAGGTTGTTTAATTAACCTCTGGACTTCGTCCGTCAGTCCGTAGAGATTCCTCCTGACGTGCCTTGGCGAGGGCTCTTCTGCAAGCAGCTGTCTGCTGGGATGGTCACGTCTGTGGCTCCCCGCAAGGAACTGCTTGCAGAGCATTATGTTATGCTCCTTGATTGGGAGCATCTGGGCCTCGTCATGTAGGTGGTGTTGGGGCGTTATCAGGAGGCATGCGGTCGCTGTCCGAAGTGCCATATTCTAGCAGGTCTGTAGCTTCATCCACTGCGTCCTGCTAGTCAAAGGCGACCACACGGGCGCTGCATAGTTTAGAACCGGCCCGCCAATTGCCTTGTATGTTGCCAACAACGTTTCTTTATCTTTGCCCCAAGAGCTGCCGGCCAGCGACTTGAGGACATTGTTGCGGCTCTGTATTTTGTTGACAATTGCGGTTGTATGCGCCGAGAAGGAGAGCAGACTGTCGAAGGTAACTCCGATTGTTTTGGGGTCATTCACCGTCGGTATTGTTACGCCATCGACGTGAATACCCGGTAGCAGTTTGGCCTCCTTCGTCCAGGTGGTGAATAGGGTTGCCGAGGATTTCGCAGGGAATAAGGCTCCTTGCAGTGAAGAAGCGAAAGAGTTCGGAGAGATAACCGTATACTTTCAAGCACAAGCCATCAATTCCATTCCCAGACGCCATAATCAAGCAATCGTCAGCATAAGAGACAATATTGACTCCCTCTGGTGGTTGATGGAGCTTTGAGATATTTAATAGTAGTAATTTAATAGTAGTGGGGATAGGACACCATCCTGAGGTACCCCTGTTAAATTTTTCCTGGTCTGCTGGTTTTGTCCCTAGATATTACTGACGAGTGTCGACCACTTAGATAATTCGAAGAGTCCCTGTGGGAGTGAGCAAGCCTCTATGTCTTCTAGCACCGTTGAATGACTGACATTGTCGAACGCCTTGGACAGGTCCAACGCTACTATAATGGTTCTCTCACTGGGTGGTTTCGGTTGAGGCCACGAGCTATCTAGGTGTTTATGGCGTTAAGTGCTGTTGTTGTGCTGTGCACTTTTCGGAAAACATTATGATACTCCGCTGGGGTCAGGTGATTCGTGAACTACGGGAGTAGCAAGGCCTCTAGTGTCTTCGCTACCGAGGAAAGGAGGGTTATCAGATGATTGAGGCCATTGAAAAATTGAGGACCTCCGTTAGGCACGCTACTCCCACAGGACTAAAATTTTTCAGCATCAACGTGCATATTCTGTCAGGTCCTATGGCCTTGTAGGCTTTCGCCTTCTCGATGGCTACCCTTACCTCACCGCTGATGAAAACAAGAGGCGCACTAAGTTTTGGCAGTTTGTGCAGCTATCTGGTCACTCGACGTTTGGATTTATCCTACGGAGGGTGCAGAATCAACTGCCGGCTAAAATAGCTCTCGCATCTCTCCAGGTCCGACGAAGCGTGGTCACCAAAGTCCATTTCAATTCTTCGTCACGCTTCGCCGGGTTGGACAAGTTGCAGGTCTTCAGATGCTCTTCCCATTTCTTCCGCTTATGTATGTTCACAAGTTGCCGAATCTCCGAGTTGAGATCCGTAATACGGGTATTTCCGGGGTCGGCCTGACGAAGGTTATCACGCTCATCGGATAGAACAGCCGCTTCAGTAGGAAAGTTCGGACGTGGATCCGTGATAAATCCTGCTGGGATGAAGCGAGCTGCAGCAGCAGTGACAACCCTGTGGAATTTACGTTCACCTACGTGAACATCGGTTGGTATGGGTAGTGAAGTGAAGGCGCTTTAAGTAACATCCGCGAAGCCTTTCCAGTCAGCTTTGGAAAAGTTGACATAGGGCCGGTGAACCGCGGAAGAAAAGTCGGTTGGTTTATCAATCGAGATGACTATGAGCAGATGGTCTGATGCTAAGGCCATCATAGATCGCCATGATTCGCTGTTTATCAGACCAGATAGATGTGTTCGACAGGCTTGAGTGCCAAAGATCGTAGTGCGCGTTAAAGTCCCCAACAAGCATACGGTTTTCGCCTCTGAGTAGCGTACCTATATCGGGGTTATATCCTGCCGGGAAGCTGGTGACATGGGGTATATATACGTTAAATATTTCGAGCTCAACATCGCCTGACCGGATAGCAATACCCTGACATTCTAGGATGGTATCATGCGGTCGATGTCTGCTCCGATAAGACGATACTGCACGGTGTGGTGCGTGATGAACGCTAAGCCACCAACATTATCTCGCTAGCGATCTCGACAGTGCCGCCCTGTGGTGGGGGTCGGCGTCGCAGTTGGGACTTGCGGCCGTGCAGCGCAACACGGGCCCTGGAAATTCCTCGTTGAATCTCGCGTGGTGCGCAGACCTGAACATGCCCTAAAGTGGCACCAGCTAAGGCAGGTGTTGCACTTGGCTGATGTCACATTACGGAATATCCTGGTCTGACACACCGTGCAGATTGTTTTAGAAACCAGGAGATGTTAGCGGTAGCGTGTGGGTGGTAATGGAGTTTTGTGGTCTGTGTTTGTGTTGAACTGGTAAGGCGTTTACTTCTAGTCGGGTTTTTAAGCACTCTCTTAATCTCTGGTTTTCGCACTTAAGCGCTTCACTGGAAATGAATAAATAATTATATTAACGATTATTAATTATTCACATACTTTATATCCATGTATTTAAATTTTTGCTTCCAGCCGTTTTTGCGACTCCTTTACTCCAGATTGCAGTGCCTCACTGTAACCGTTACAAACATATTACAAGCGTACTTTAAATTTAAACGTACATATGTATTTAACTTACATTTTCTGTTCTAAGCAAGCCAAACTATTCACGAATTGAATTTTGTTGGTCGCAGCTTCCAACATTGGCAATCTTGAAGGCGGCAGAACATTTCCCTGCCCTATAAATCCACCCTTAATTATTGGGACCGCGCCCTTTTTCTGGACGACCCGATCTGGGGCAACTTCCAGCAATGGCGATCTGGCCGGTGCCGCAGCATTTCCCTGGACTGCCATTTACACGAAGGTCACAGCCTCGAGGAATTCACCAAAGTTTTCCTGGTCGGATTGTCCACCGTTAATTGTAGAGACCGCACATTTTTTAAGGACCGCTCGTCTTGCCAATTCTGGAAAGTAAACTAAGTTCATGACTGTTTCTTTAAAAAAGTAATTATGTAAAACTCGAGTCATGCCGGTACGTAGAACCGGCTGTCGTGGGATCTTGAGGTGCCGGATGATGATGAACATGTAAATTTAAGAGCCGCGGTTGTACTTTCATGTAGGTGTTCTTTCTTAGAGAAAACAAATCGCTATACATTTATTAGAAAGTTAAAATTTTTTTGCAGTGGAAAATCCGCTTAAATACAGACGCAGTTTTTAATTTCTCGCCTTTTTGGCAAAGTAAGAGCTACTAATGGGGTGCAATGGGGTATAGTCGTTGCGCTGGGTATGCAGTTATAGTTGCATGGCTATACTGAATCCCGACTATTGCGTCCTCATTCGCGCACTCTGGGCAACGTGAGCAATCCATGTGCGAGGTGCGGTAACCAATCCGAGTGGAGCCTTGGATCACGACAGAAAGAGAGGGAGCTTCGGTGGAGCCAATCCGACTTATTCGGTTCAAGGGCTCACTGGAGTGTGCAACGTCTGTTCACCAGTAGGCGCGGCTGCAAGCGGATGTCTGCTTGGAGCAAGCGGCTCGCTATATAAACGTGTATTTGGTTGCGAAACCACCTCAGTCCTAGCAATAGGTTGAAGCAAGGCAAAGCCTCAGATGAGAAACACCCCCCCACCCCCTCATGATGACAACCACGGCAAACGTTTAAAGGACTACGATTTGAGGGCATGCACCTGGAATGTCCGGACCCTTAATGGGGAAGGTGCCTCTGCCCGGCTGGTTGATATCCTCGGGAAGACAAAGGCTGACATCACCGCCATACAAGAAATGCGATGGACCTGGCAAGGAAAAGTAAGCGTGAAGCCTTACGACGTCTACTACAGTTGCCACGTAAAGGAGAGCAAATTCGGTTTTGGATTCGTGGTAGGAGAGAGACGGTGTGTACTCCTGTGAGAACAATAATGGCGACCTAGTAACCGTTGTCCAGAGCGTACTTAAATTATGGAGGGATCACTTTTCCGCCCTACTAAATGGTAGCAGCACGGAAAGTTGTGGAGAAGACCCGTGCCCGCAGTCGATGATGACGGAGTCGACGTTCCACCGCCTAACTATGACGAGGTACGAATAGCAAAAACGCGGCTGAAAAACAACAAAGCTGCTGGAGCTGACAGCCTGCCAGCTGAGCTATTCAAGTACGGCGGCGAGGAGTTGATAAGGTGAATGCATCAACTCTTGTGCAGAATATGGTCAGATGAACGCATGCCCGACGACTGGAATTTAAGTGTGCTCTGCCCAATCCACAAGAAAGGTGACCCCGCCATTCGCGCCAACT